TTTTTTTTTTTTTTTTTCATAACCTTATACTTGTTAGACGTATCGTGGTTGTTGCTCGACTAGAGAATTGAATCAACAGATCATCAATAAGGTCATCGTCGAATTGAAAATTTAAACAAATCAATTTTTTTTTAACTGAATACGAGGTATATACATAATAATAATTAAAGTTACACTAGATTCCAATTTTAGAAGCCCTTTTAAAAATCGAAGTAATGAACATTAATATCGAGTGGATGATTTGTTTTGTCCATTGATTTGCTACCAAATCATTTCCACCGTTAGGTCAACAATTTCCCCGCCCAATTGGTGTATCTGTTGTCATAACTATGCATATCACTAATAATATTGAAATTTATTTTGTTCAATTAAGTACATAAAATTCTAATATTATGATTAGTTCCTTTCAAAAACTTGAATTTTTGAAAAGGAGCCAAAGCCATTGTTGTTTTTGTGTGTCCACCTTTTCTTGATGCATGCCCATCAACCCGAAAAGTCGAAAGTTAAAGGAGATGAGAGGAAAATTTGTAATATCATCAATGGATTGTTCTTTTGAGTTTAGTGGATTCTTTTCCGTGGCACAAAGGTCNNGATTCTTTTCCGTGGCACAAAGGTCCGTGGGTTTTTCCTTCATTGTGGGGTTCTATGTCTGGTGTTCAATCATCATCGACTTCTATGTTTTTTATTACACACGTTTAACATGAGATATACAAATTTACATGAGAAATACAAATTTAAGTCGATGAAATTTGAAAAAAGAGAGAGAGAACGAAGAAGAAGGAAGGGGGGAAAAACCTATGAAAAAAGAGAATTACAGATTTTACTGCAATATATATGTTATGACAATTATTTGTTGTTCGAAAAGAATAATGAAACATGTCAAAAGATAAATCAAATTAGATTATTGCACTATATATTTAAGAAAGTGAATTTGTTTTCATTTTGTGCACACTTTGATGGTACACAACATATATATAAATCATAATTATAAATGATAAATTTACGTATAACTAAAATAAAAAGAAATAAAAGTTATAAAAATAAAACAAATTTACACTAGTAATGCTTGTACCTACTTATTCATTACCCTCTTTTGAGTGTCTTGATCATTCCGTATATGACAATATGATATTGTACGCAAACCAAATACAGCGAGCATTAGCGTTACGAGCTCATTCTTTGCTAAATCTTGAAAATTTTATCAACTTTTCAATGAGACCCACAATTTTTATTAACTTTACAATTACACATTTCATCATTTTTTAATAATTTTTGTATCAAAAACGTTTTGTCGAGCAATCTCTTAATTTCAAAATGTTTATATTTTATCTATATTCTCTTTTAACAGTAATTTCACGTGCCTTGGCGTGAAATTATTAAACCATATGATGAGTGGTCCTTTCACAATTTTATTTTTCTTCTTCATCTTCCAAAACCAACTAAAGTTGTAGGGTAGGGCACATACTGATAAGGGCAGGTCCTACTATATCAATAACAAATTCTT